TAAAAAAAATTTTTGTGAAGGTTCAAAGTTATCAAGTTTATTGATTTTACTATTACTATAAACAATGGAAATTTAGAACCTAAAGGCTCAATAACCAAACAAGTTGCGTAAATAATATTTCGCAACTCTATTTTCATGAAAATACTTGGTTTAGAACGAAACAAACATTATAGCTCAACAAAACATTATAGCTTAACAAAACATTATAGCTCAACAAAAGAGTTGCAAAATAATGTTAATGACTGACCAAGATTATGATGGTAGTCATATAAAAAGATTAATGTAAATTTTATCGATTATTTTTATCCATCACTTTTCAATTTGTATGGTATCCATGTCCACATATTAATATTATTCTTTCATCGTTTCAAAAGGTCTTTTCGGTGTTTACATGATTCAGGATTTGGTGGAAAAGAAGTATGATAACCGGCAGGAAGTGATCTGAAATCTACATTTAAGGTGGGTAATTTATAAGTTTTATTTTTAGACTTTTTTGCTATACTTAATATCATAAATCAAATGAAAATAGTCTAATAAAAATAAACTTGTTTTTGTAGTCAGCTCTTCCAACATAGGTTCGCTATAAGGATAATGATGATATTTTTAAATTGATTTATGAATGTACTTTTATTTGCTATGATTCTATAACCTCATTAAAATATGTACATTATCTTTCCAATAACAATAGTCAGACAAAAAGCTAAAAGAGCTTTATTGTAATTTTTTTTTTCTGTCTTAAAGCAAAAGTCCAAATGTTTCCAAGTATTCGTTCGTTAAAAGAATCTGAATCGCATATATATATAGTATTGGGAAAATACCCTACTTGCAAGATCTAATAGAAAGTTAACCTTCAAGGTTTTGGTTTTTTGTTAGGACCTTCCTTGATCCAAAAACATAATGAAACAATTGATTAAAGAACTCCCAATGTATTATAATTATATATTTTCTTTACGTAAGGACCAACCGATTTTAATAATCTTATATTCATCACAAACATTCTGATTCTGTTCTTGATTATTTATTTTTGCTATCGCCTTTCCAGGCCAATCTGCCGATATAGCAATTATATTTATTGTTCTATTTTTATCAATGATAAAAGTACATCAACATAACCATTTAAAGAATACAGATTTTTTTGCTGCACATTGACAATGACTCCTTTCATGGATCTATCTATCTTGATGTCTTTCCAATATTAATGTATCATAAGAATGGACAGTAAGAAGCTCAATTCTATATTTGATTCTTCTACATAGAAATCCATGTTGTTTTACGCGTGTCAACTGATATCAAATATCCTTTAAAGTCATTTATTTAATAAATGATTGCTTAGCCTCAATATCATTAGGAATATGAATGTAGACTCCATTATGAATCACAGGGAACTGTTTGACATCGCTCTATCATTTTAGAAATCAATGTTGCCATGATAGGCTGTAGAAAAAGGGTAGTATTTGGTTTTCTCCACCCATGAATTTGTCAATATCAAGAACGGAAGCTGATATTACTTACATATTTACCAAATTTTCATTTATTTTTGAAATGTTTTAAAGATCTTTTCTATAATTTTCAATTGTTTGTGAACCCCATATTTGCCAATGTATCAATGGAGCCTGCTCCAATAAGGTAAATACCAAGATCAAGCTTTATAGTATTTAGTAAATTTGTTGCGTAAACCTACCAACAAATAACAAAATATTACAGTAAATTTTTTTCTGCTTCTTTATTACTTTTGTCTGGAGTTATGGCTAGAGATGGGAGATTCAAAATTTCGTGCGCATTTTTTCTAAAAAAATTTAGAATATATATTTGCAAAAAAATAAATTATTATCGCTATAACCGTCTCCTTTTTCACTGCTTTCTATATCATCACTTTTGTCATTTTCGACTCCCATGTTTCCATCACCATCAATTGTAATATTCATCTTATCATTTTTAGTATTCTTTGGACTTTTTTTAGTTTGTAATTTAAAACACATTCAGATGTCAATTTGTTTCTCTTATTATGTATAAAAGAAAAAGTGCACTAATTTCTTTTAGATGAAATAGGAGCTGAAATTATTATAATTCTACCTAACTTAACAAAATGAGGCAAAGTTTTGATTTTGTCACTCTTAAAAAAAATACATCAATAATAATCAATAATAACTTTTTTTTCTTTTTTGAATTAAATTATGTATGGGACATTGGATATTTGATAAAAAAAATCATGCGCGCATTGTAATTTTTTTCATGCGCATGTCACATCTCTAGTTATGGCATCAGTCATCTCTTCCGAAAAGCCCCAAGTCTTGGATCACTTTGTTCAATCATATCAGAATCCATTTTATACACTTTTAAATTTTCTTTGTTATTTATAAAAAACTTTACTCAACAGTTTTATTTTCGTTGCAAACGAACCATTTCTGTTTCTATATAAAAATGTTAATCGTTAAAAAAAACCAAATTAATACCATCATCATCAGTAATACTTGTGTCAAGTCACCATCAACATAATATGAATTTCATCAATTAGTAATTGCAAAATATTAATATGATCTATTATACTTTTAAAATCGTCTTTGGATACAATAACCTTATTATTCTCAACAGTATTTATCTCGAGTCATTTTTTTTTTTTTTATTAGTTATAGCGTTAGTTGAAGATTTGAAGATTCCATCATCATGTGGTATGGTTATAGTAATTGGTGTTTGTTTTCGGTTTATTGCTTTTACCAGGAATTCACAATATACTTGTCTGAGATGATTTGACTTTGCGATAATAACCTCCTCACATAAAAAACTGATAATTAAAGTTATTGTGATTTTGGTGGTGGTCAATTAAATAATCTTGCTGCTTACAGTGATTTTCTAATAAACAAATTTGTGGTGGTCTTCCATATAATATATATTAATACGCTTCCGTGAATCTTTTTATTCTCTCACACAATCGTTGGTATTCTCGATTTGTTTTATTTTTATTAGTGATTGGTGGTTGTTGCGTTTGAACTGTCTTTCTGACTTGTGAATTATTCGTGAGGTTTTTGATTAAGATTCCTTATTTCTTCTGACGTATATACGATATATGAGGTTAACAAGCATTTTAGTAAGTGATGATTCTTTTGCAGTTTATCTTTATATAAGAATATCTAACAGAAAGTCTGGTACCTTGCCTTTTAATGATGAGTCAAACTTCTTTTTCCTATTAGCAGATGCTTCTAAAACATCAGTTGACCTGAAAAATATTAATTGACAAGACCACTAATTATCATTAAAACATATGTAAAAGGTTATTGCACACAAAATACCATTTGGGTTTTATATTTGTATATGGTATCTTGGTAAAAAAACTTTACAATTGAAGTTTCAGGTCAAAACTACCAAAACACTTTGGACAAAAATTAATTTTTATAGATATAGTTTTTTCATATTGAGAAGTCCAAATTATTTCCAAGCTACTTTTTTTTCGAAATAGTTTAGATCAGAAGACTTAGTTCCAATATCTTGCGGACAAAGACATCCTCATTTATACTTTTATCTGTGTCTGCTGAAAGATTATTATAACTATGATGTGATAAAAAGAGCAAACAAAAACCAAGTCGAGTTCATTATTTTTGATTGTCTTTTGCCATTTCTCTGATAAATGGTATGTCCTTGACATGTGACCTGTTGAATACTAAAAAATTAAAAGCTTTGTATGACAAAATTTAATTTGTTCACTCTTATAACGGCCCTTCTGTTTCAGCAAAAAAAACCCCTTGTTAGAGAGAGAGGCCGTTTATATATAGTATATAAGACATATGAGACAATTTTAATTGGCCCATTCTCAGTCCGTTATACAGAGAGTGAACTGTATAAAGGATTGTAAATTGATAATATTCATTATTGTCTACTTTCGCTGGTATTGTTAAAACTTTTATCAAGCATACTCAAATAAATACCACAACCTATTTGATCCATAGAGATAGATGTTAAAACTTATTTGTTAAATGATTAGATAATTTGATGATAAACAGAGGAAAAAAAAATATTACTAGATAATTCTAAATCGATTGTTCAAATCGATTGATGATGTAATGGTTTCAGAAAGAACTATATATGAATACATTGTTTTTTTTGTTTTGTGCTATTTATTTATATTAATATTTTTTTGTACAACAACACTACGCGCTCTTAATACTTTGATAGGCACGTGCACGTGTGAAAAAAATCAAAAAATCGGGGAATGGATCATACGATTTTTTCATTGGGAAATTACGAGAACATTGTAGAAATTTTTTGATTATAATATAAATGTGCTCGTTTTTGATCATTGTAAAAAAAAATTTCCAAACAATTCAAAATAATTAAAAAAATAATCTTCAAATAAAACAATCAACAACATGGCTCTTGATTTACGTCTTGAAAATCCATTTAATCACATATTTGAGAATTTTGTCAAAGATTTAAACGACGTTAGTCAACGTAATATTGCAAATCGAGGAGTTCGTCCTTGGGCACCATTATTGGATTTACACGAAAATAACAACGAATATATTATGAGCACTGAATTACCCGTAAGTATATATAAATAATGAGAATATATGTGTGTGTGTGTTATGTATGTATTACATCTATATATTAATTGCCATTTCTTTCTATATGTTTTAGGGAATTAAAAAAGAGGATATTAAGATTGATATTCGGGACAATATACTCTATATTTCTGGTGAAACTAAAGAGGAAAAAAAATCAGAAGAAGGAACAACTCATATTCAAGAACGCCGATGGGGTTCTTTCTCTCGTGCACTTTCACTTCCACGTAATGTGAAAGCTGATGATGTCGTTGCTAAATACGAGAACGGTGTCCTTGAGGTTAAAATTCCTAAAGCTGAACCATCTGGCAAAAAAATCACCATCAAATAAAATTAAAATGTTTATTATAATAGCTTATGATTAAAATTTGTAATAAATATAATTTAGGAACTTGCAATTAAATAAAATAAATTTGTAATATACTTTGCTTATAATTAATAAAAATGTTTTTTATTTTTTAATTAAATGGTGGTTGTTGTAAATTTACATGTTTTGAATATTTTTTTTAAATGTTTCTACACAAGTCGATGTTGTCGCCTGCTTTTCATTTCCTTTAACCAATTCAATTAATTTCTCATAGTAAGTGACTCGTGATATAAATCATAAAATAATTAATACAATAAGGCCAGGAAAAGCCAAAAAATAAATAATAAAGTTGTGGAAGAATCTTAAATCTTTATTTGATAAAAAAGTTGAGCTGGTCTCGGATTTCATTTAGCAGTGGTAAAATGTCAACTGAAATCTGCGAGTTGTACGGAGAAGGAAAAGGTATTGCTGACTCCACCATCAAAAACTTCTACCAAAGAAAACAAATCCTAAGAAGAAAACGATAGATGCAATTCAGGAATGAGTTAATAAAAAGAGATGAAGATGATGATGGCGAAGAAGGAGAGAATG